GCATCATTGATGCACAGTCAGGTTACCCAGATTACCTAAATTATCCAGATTACCAAGGACTCTGATCCTAGTGTGCCTGACATGTATGAACATTTAGCTCCTTGACGCCAAGGGAAATGGTTGTGCACATATTCACAGTGCAGCACAAAAGAAGATGCACTTTTCTGGCAGTTTCCAGAAAGGAGAGAAGGTTGGTGTACAATTTGATGAAATGAAACAAGAACTGGAAATACTCTGTGAAATGAGAAATGGAGGGCAGGGATGACTCTGGACTTAATTGGTATTTTATGCTCTATTAGTGCTAAACCCCTCAGTAAGAGAAGGGGCATTGGCATTCCTGTTTGCAAGGACGTCTTACCTGCCTTCTCAAGCCACACCAAACACAGCAGATTCTCCCATGGCAGACTTACTCCAGCCACTGTGTGAGCATTGGGAAACTCACAACCTGGTGGGCGGTGCAGGTGCCACTGCTGAGGGAGGGGAACATGGAAAAAGCAAAAAGAGACACCTGGAATTTGAAAAAAAATAACCCAGGTAGCAAGGGATCAGATGAGAAGTATACACAACAGAGGGTCATCCCCAAAACTCTGGGTTTGCCTAGCAACAGAACAGGTGGTACAGCAGCCATGGACAGAAATCATGGACATGGCTCCACTCAGCAGAGAGCTTTCCTGGCCCTGTGCTTGCACCCACACACCCCCTCAGCTTCAGCACTGAAACCAAAGTGGAAGATGGGATTTTATTTAAAGATCATTGTTCTTGGCATCATCACAGACACAATCAAGCCAGTTAGAAAGAGAGAGGCAAAGCTATTTAAACTCATGCACTGCATCCACTGGCTCTGACACAGGACAGATGTTGCCCTCCTTCTCCTTTTAGACTATCCATTTCTCTTTCCACTCTCTGTATATGAGACCTTATTCTGACTTCAATCACGGTTTCATCTTCCAGGTTTCAGTGTTTAAGCATTTGAGGCAATACACTGTAATATAACATATAATGGCATTGCATATCTATTGGGAATTATGCTACAGCTGACCAACTCTTAAGCTAGAAGCCCACTATGAAGACAAATGTTTCTAAGTCCTACTTTGGGCAAAACTCTGTCTTACTAATTAGCAACTCAAACTGTTTCTCCTACCTAGGCTAATGGAAGCTCTTGACCATTTCGCACCATTACAAAAGCATCAGCTGAACTCATTTGCACACTTCCTTAATGTTCTCTTCATCACAGGCTTACACTGACATACCTTGAATAAACCAGAAAACGCACAGAAGAAGCACAGCATCTGTATTTATAGCTTTCATGCACAGAAGCCAATTTCTTGAGGAACAGTGCCTATAAATTGCAACTGGAAGAAGATGCACTTATTTATTGCATTGCTTCCAACCAGGGAAAAAAAATTCTCTCTCCCTTTCCTTTAAATTAAAGGCTTGGTGAGGAAGAGCCCAGCACCTCAGGGACAGAGCTTCTGCACGTGCAGCTTGGAGGGCTGGGCTCGTTTTGCTTTCTCATTTGTACCAGAGAAGGGGCCAGGTATCTGTTCCAGTCATGGAAAACTGAAGATACAAATTAAAAATAAAAATAAATTTTTAAAAATTAATTTCAAAGCAAGATTTTAGTTGATCCGAAAAGATTTTGGGGCAAAAGGTTTTTTCAAGAGGGGATGCCTCATCTAGCAGGATTTCCCACACAGAATGCTACCATGCACTCACTAACTCTCTCGTCTCTTCCTTTTGAGGATACCACCAGTGCTGTACAGGGCTTTAAACACCAACACGTACTCGGGAACATCAGGAGAGGCAAAATCCAGAAAAGCTGGTCTGTACATGCTCCCACAGCTCAGTAACACCCAGCACTGCCTCTCCACCTTGCCAGAGCAGTTTGACTGCTCTGTGCCATACAGACAAAGCACTTAAGAGCCAAGTGTGGGTAAAACGGCGAAAACGCTGTCACAGCATCACCTTACCCGGGGACATTGATGTCCCTAAAGCACTCAGCAGCAGGGTTGAAGCGAGATGTTTCTCACAGGGCGGCTGCGACACCCGCAGATGTCACAGGGGGAAAAACCCACAGAGCCGAGCGCTGCCCGAGCCGCCGCAGCTCGCGCCCAGCACGGAGCTCACCCGCGCCAGAAAACAGAACCAAAGTTCCGATTTACAGAACCCAGGGAGCCGCCCCGAAGCGCCTCAGCGGCGCCCCCGCCGTGGGGACAATGGGGCCGTGAGGGAGCGGCCCTGCCGCGGGGACACAGATGGCCGCGGACGGCACAAGGACACAAAGGCAGGGACAGCCGCGGGCGAGGGCAGGGCCGGCCGAGCGGGGCCCGACGAGGGGCAGCGCCGTGCAGGGCCGGCCCCGGCCCCCTCCTCCTGGCCCCCCAGGGAACGCTTCCCTTTTTCCCGCAGCAAAGGCAATCTCTGATGGCCGAACTGAGCTGGCTCTCGGGGCAGCGCACACCGCGCTCCTCTGGAGCTGCCTGAAAGGTGATCAGTCAATGTCTTGTCTCTCTCTCAGGGTGCTCCGTGTTTCTCATTTGGACACCTCCTGTCTCCCTCTGTCTTCTAATCTGCCAAGATGCTGCTTGGTGCTTCTTTTGTCAGGAAAGTAACAATAATTCACAAATACACAGATCAAAAGGCATATTCTTCCACTTGCAGGAGAGGGATCTCACAGTTGTTAGGACAGCAGCAATGTAATAAAAACAGACAAAACTAAGAACAAAGCATTTGACAAGGGGCAAAAATGAGAAAAAAAGGAAAAAGACAAAGCAATGAAGAGCGCACCATGCTCCTATCGGCTCCAAAGCCCCGTGGCTGCAGCAGCTCCCACCATCTGGGGTTCTGTGGCAGTACGTGCATTGGGCCCTCATGCTCGCAGCCAGGACAGCGCTCGCAGGGGCCGTTCTTGCCTGGCTGATCCCTGACAGCATTCCACAGGAACACAGCACCCCTGCCCAACCTAGATTGTGCTTCTGGAGGAGTGGGGATTGCAGAAACCTCCCTGCTTTAGGGTGTGAGCCAAAACACAGAAACCATTTATGAAGACCATGGGAAAAATTTTTACTGTTCACACCAGAGTTATTTACACATTAAAAGCCTGATAAACACACCAAACCCCAGTCTACTCTTAGACATTGGTCAGATAGAGTAGCTTGTACACTTTGGAAACACAATGTGCAGATTTACAGGGCAGAATTTTCCTTAATGCCACTGGGAAGGCAGTCAGGTTATGGAGGAATACACCCCTTGGCTCCCTGACTTTTCCCTGCTCAGTAGAGTGATCTTGCCCAATCCACTCAAAGATGTTCAGCACAAAGTGATCAGTCACCCACTCTCTCAAATGGTCCTCAAACATCTTTCGTCTGCCTTTCTTCTGGAAGGCAACTGGCTAAACATTGCTTTTTCCAAAATTTGGAGGCACCTGACTGAAGGTCGTGATGCTTACTGAAGGTGATGGGTCAGACAAGAACATACACAAGCATCAAAGAGAACACAAGTGTGTAAAGCTGCCTACATAAATAATAGGTGCTGCTTGACTAAGCATCTATGACTATGTGTTTTGGATGTGTGGGTTTGTAGTGAAACTAAATGCAAAGATCATTCAGTGCATGAGGGTTGGAGGAGTAGACTGCTACAAATATAAGTCCTTTGTTAATCTAATGTTTATATGAATTTATATTTCAGTATTTTTCTAAACATGAAGATATTAAACTGTATAACATTTTATTACAGATTTAGAACTATTCATTATCTCCAACACTGCACTGGTCCTAATACCACTGGGATCATAAAGTGACATTTTACCTAAAGCCCATTCTCAGCCAGAATTTCAGCAATTCTGGTTTGCACTGTAAGTGATCCACATTGCCCACACCTTGAACAGCCTGTGCCAGCCCCTGTCTGCACCACCACACAGGAGCTGCAAGTTACACAGATAGGCAGGGAAACATCCAGGGATTATGGAAAGGCTCTCTAGCCTGTTTTCAAAGTGCCACAGCTATTGAAATATAGCTGCCTTTGGAGCCCAACATTTCTGACTGTTTTCCAAATGCCCCTTCAGCAGCACTTCTTGGCCACTAAGAAAAAGGGGGCGAAACCTCAGACATGTACCAGAAGCTGTGATATTATCTTCTTTCCACCTGCAGTTAGGCTCTGTTTTCCCTAGGAGCTTTTAACGGATACAGGAACTATATACTACCCTGGCAAAGCACTCCCTGGTGTGATTGCAACTATGGCAGCAAAGCTGTTTTGTACCAGTGCAGGGCTGCTCTGCTCCTGCTCCCCTGTGGCACCAGCAGCACAGGAAGCACCAGACAAAGGCCCCACGTTGTGCTGCAGAGCTCTGCCCCCCAGAGCCCTGCCTGGCAAGGTTCCAGGCTCTCAAAAACAGAGTCAGACACCAATCCCGCACCCTGGCATATGCTAAGGAGAGCTGCAGGTGTCCAGTGTGTCACAGATACAGCTCCATGGCAGGAACAGAAAAGTGGGCAGCTCTCCCTCTGCTTCTTTGCAGTAGCTTTCACCCCCATACCCTAAACTGGATTTTTTTGGCCCCTAAGAAAGCAGTTATCAAGGCAGCACCATCCCTTACCATATAATGATGACTGTTCATATTGGCCTGGTTATCTCAAAAATAGCACAAAATAACCCAGTAGATTCATGGCAAGCCTTCTGCACATTCCCCCATATTGTCTTAGGAAAGAGATACATTTAAGAAGTGGCATTGGTCCTTTGGTGTTCAAATACTACCAAAACACTAGAAGAGCAGAAGAGAACCACAGCTATTTTTCCCAGATGTGGGGGCACAGTCCAGCCCCTTTCTCCAACCTGACTTGGGCTGCTCATGAGAGAGGCTCAGATGCCAAAAGAGATGAAGAAGATGGAGGAGGACCCTAGCCCTCACTCAGCCTCTTACCTATGACAGCACGTTTTGCTGTTGAGACAGCCACAACACACAGAATATCACCATACAATGGCAGAAGGCTTTGAGCACTCACCTATCCAGAGTAACACCATGCCACCTCAGAAGGCTGCAAGCAACTGCCCTTCTTGTTCTTTAGCCCAGCCTTTTATCCCCTCCTGTTGATGCACTGCACCTGTGTGCCCTTCATTGTCAATGCCCTGCACCTGTGTGCCCCTCACTGTTGATGCACTGCACCTGTGTGCCCTTCACTGTCAATGCCCTGCACCTGTGTGCCTCTCATTGCTAATGCCCTGCACCTGTGTGCCCCTGTCAGTGCCCTGCCCCTGTGTGCCCCTCATTGCTAATGTCCTGCACCTGTGTGCCCTCACTGTCCATGCCCTGCCCCTGTGTGCCCCTCACTGCCCGTGCCCAGCCCCTGTGTGCCCTCTGCTCCCTTTGGTGGTTGCTCAGTGCCCCTGGGCACTCCATGGCTCATTGCTGTCAGTGCTGCTCACCTGCTGCTCACAGCTGTGCCCATTGGGGATGAGGCTGGGCCAGCCCCACCCCAATTAGCACAAGCTGGGTACCTACACTTACCTTTCAAAGGCCGGGTGGAAAACCAAACTATCCTTTTACTCTGACCCTGCCCATGGCATAGTCAGGGTTTGGGACACGTGAAACATGAGCTTAAGCACTGCTTGGCACAGCTGGGCTGAGCAGGTTCCCAGCACCCTGATCCACGTCCACATTCCCACTAACATGGGGAATATATGCCGTTCCAAACAGGATCCCCACGTGGGGAGCTCCCCATCTCAGCACAGTGACTGTGCACCTCCTTTTAACTACTCAGCAGGGAGATGCTCAGACAAAGGCATGAGCTTCAGTACAGCACTACTAAGGCAGCTCCCTGAGCTGCATGGAAACATCAGTTCAGCTCTTGGGATTCACAATGCAGTACCTTTTCCTGAAGGTAGAAACCTACGTCTTTTTCATTTCTGAAAGTTTGCCCAGAAGTGATCCAGCATTATTTCAAACCAGTGTCAGGCAAAAAGCCTCCTTTTTCAATATCTGCATTGTAAGAACCTGCTACCTTTCTTTGGCATGGAGAAGATGGCACATGAGCTCTTTCCACAGCAGCTGCTGTATATTCCCAGATTTTCTTGCAAAGGCATGAAAGTCTGTGAGCCTGTGCTGCAGGACACTTTTCCATTTCCCATCTTAAAGCAATAAAATTGAGTTAGGAACATGCTTCTATTATGAACAGGAATAATGAATTGGTGATTTCATTAACTAATTTTTCAGCCCGTAAACATCTGTTCTGTGGTTTAGAGATAAATAATCGGGTTGAAAGTTAATGCTCCTCTCTAGAAATGGATCATTTCAGTGTGATTTTGATGAAGAAACATTGAGCTAAGAACAATCTAGATGCAAACAGAACTGTCCTCTTTGGAATTAAGAAAAGTCATTCCTAGTTTTGCTATATTAGGCTTCGAAAATTTATCACAAGCCACATTTGAGCCTAAACTCTGACTATCCATTCTAGCAATGTTATTTCAGCGGAATAAAAACCATCTATCATTTGTCTCAAACAGGACATTCTTTTTTTGTTTTGGGGAAAAATGTAACTTTTCTTAAGTTAGGACTGCTCTGGTGCTTCCTGCTGTAAGGATGACCCTACTTGAGTTGTGCCTGAAGTTGTGCTTCGATTGTAGCTTTCCCGTACTGTTCTGAAGGAACTGTGTGTGTGCAACAGCACTGTCAACATCAACAGGGATCTAAACTGTTGAAAACATGGGCTGCAGCATCAACAAGCTATGCCACCCTTGCACTTGTAAAAAAGCTCACTATATAAACTAATTTAGGCATTGACTATATGTCCATGAAAACATATTTCCTACAAAATATCACTTACGTGCTCCAAGCCCAGACATGGCCCAATGACAACAAGTTGTGCTCTAGTTCAGTGCAGCGATTTTGAAAGGCTCTGACTGTGCATGTTCCCATGCCACAGTCTTGCAAAGCCTTGTACTTTGTGGGAATGGGTAACCACATCATTTCAGCTGTCACAACTGCTGAATATTTATGATGATTATGATTTACTCAAGCTGGAGACTCCAGGAGAACTACATCTTTCTAACTTTCCAGAGGTGTCCGTGGTCCTTAAAATGACTGTTTCCCTGACCTCCTTACCATAAGATAAGTTAAAAAGAGTAAAAGAAAGCCTGGCAATTGGCTCTGTTGGCACTTACACAGAGCTACAATACCTGGGGGTCTGGGGTGGGTAAAATATGCAGCCTCCTACCATGGTCTGCAAGGCCTGATCCAATATCTGTGCATTTGTATACAATGCAGAACCTTTTTTTTTTGTATTAAAACAAAAAAGCACAGAGATACGGGCAAGGCAGCTATAGGTCTGGTTCTTCTATTCTTGCTGAAAAATTTAAAATATTAATGAGTATAATCAGCTAGCAATACCTTTTCATAGTACATGTTCTTACCTCACCTCAACCTACCGTGGAGCCAGGGAGGCACATCCAGAAGCAAACGCAATACCAGACACAGAACCATGGCTTTTGCTTTCCCTCCTCCTGGGCTGCAGAGTGCTCTGTGCCATCAGGTGAGTGATCACTGAGATTCAGCCACCCCAGCAGCAGCAGCAATGCAGGGGGCACTGACAGACAGACAAGCTCTGACGCTAAGCTCATGTATTCCCTTTATTGAACTGTACTAGTTATTGCAATCAGATTAAGTCACATTTATAAAGCAGACCATCCAGTTGCACTGAAACCGATTATATTCATTACATAGTTTTAATCACTGTCCGGTGAACTGGCAAATCCAATCAAAGCATTAGTCTTTAATTAAAAAATTAAAAAGAAATATTCAGACAATAGCCAAGCAATCACATCACAATGCACAGTTACCTAAAATTGCAATTAAAAAGCAGTTAACAAAAAAGAAAAAAATCACACCTAATCTTTAACTATCAATATAATACAAGAAGCAACAAAGGGCAACAGCATCAAAGCAGATTTATCTAACACTATAAATTCAGTCAGAAGCAGAAGCTCTAAAGTACACTAGCTGAAGCAGGACAATAAAAAATACTGAGCATGGAATACTTTTAATCTCTTCCATTAATATTCATTTCCAGCTGCTTATAATAGCAGCGCCTCATGGCCAAATCATTAGAGTTTTACATCTGGGTTGCAAATGACACTTTGATTGGATGTAATGTTCAAATGGTCCTCCCCACTGTGCCACCGTCAAGTCTTCTGCAGAGAGGTGTCCTGTAGTGCCAGTGGCTCACTGTGCGTGCTGGCTCAATGTGTGGTTCTGGAAAGACGAAAAAAGGAGACATGCATGAGGGGCAGAATAATAGAAAGCATGCCCATACCCTCCCACTCAGTACCATTTATGCAGAGCTCAACATAAAAGCTTCTCAATTATTACAAAACAAAATGCAATAAAGAAAAAGTACTCATAAGTAACAGCTGCCAATATGACATATTTGCTTTGTTCTGACAGATCTGTTAATGCTGGCATGAACTTAGAAAAAAAATGCTACAAGCCAAGTATAGTCATGAAGGTTTCCTTTTTTTTTTGCTTCTTTCAATACATATAAAGAAAATGGTAACTTCATGGGCAAAAAAAACTGCCTTTAGGGATTCCCTTCACTGTAACAATTAAAAAAATAAAAATCTGAATCGTGAGGGAACCCTTGCCATATTTTACTCTTTCATTCTCACTCGTACCGGGTGCAAGCACTGGCAGCAAGCGACACCAGATTGTGACACACACTTCCCAGTCCAAGAAATACTTCGGCAATAACAGCTGAACCGCCAGCTCAGGCACCAGGGTAATATTCCCGGCAGAAAAAAGGCTGGACATGTAACCCAGAAGTTAAATCTCTTTAAAGAATGTACTTTTCTCTATACATTTCTTTCAGCAGTTTAGAGTCTCTTTTGTTCCCTTTTTTCCTTTTGGTAGATTTGTAATAGCCTCAATGTCATCACAGTATCTCACATCAGAGGATGCTGACCTGTCTTGCCATTTTGTGTAGGAGCCAATAAATCCTGGATCCAACCTCGGAAGTGTATTTTTAGAGCAGTACCAATTCACCCACATTTTGTGTTCTGACAAAACCCCAGTCTTACACATAAACCTAGCTTTATTTGTATGATTATCCAATTATTTGAGCAACTAGAGAAGTTGAACTAGGTTCATGGTGAGGTTTTCTTGAGCTGAGTCCCCAGCATCCCCAAATATAAAAATTCATTTGTGCTATTTCAAGCCTAAGCAATTTCCCTAGTCTCCATCTGCCTAATAACAGAGCCAGGCAAGTCCTCCAGCTTGAAGAATAAGTTTTTAAACACAAAATGAATTTTGAATCTAATTATTTATTTACAGTGATGAAGCTTTAAAATAAAGTAAGATATTTTAACTTTTCATAAATCATCTGGTCCTTCTACGCTATTCCACAGCTGATCACATCGTGATCAGGATAAAAGAGCAATCATGCTCTTTTACATGCTTTATCCAGAGATGACAT